CGTACATTCTGACCACATGGCTGTCCCAGTACGGTTCCAGGCAATGTGGTGGTAAGTTGGTTTTTCGTATGCGCACGTGCACGCTAGTGCGTATACAAGATGATATTACTGGATGTAAAAGTGGAAGTGTGTGGATCAAGAAATAAAAACTACAGAAAATAAACGAAAAGTTTTACAACAGGTTATGGGCCCAGGATGCTTCCACTGCGCGTAGTATATAATTAACTGAAGAGTTGTGGATATTTTTGAGTATTATCAAAGATGTCGAATCCAACTGCAACCTTGCCACCGATTGAAAAGCTGGACGGTCGTTTAAATTATTCTGATTGGAAATTCGGAATGATGCTTTATCTCAAAGACTTGGGCATTTGGAACAGTGTAAATGGATACCCTACAGGAGATACTACGACCGAAACACAGAAGACCCAGCATGATGCAACGGCCCTAATAAAGATTGGCCTCATGGTCAAGCCCACTTGTTATCCTATCATTCGTGATGCAGAAACAGCTAAATCTGCATGGGAAAAGCTTTCTGTAGCTTTTGAGGATGATGGCCTGAATTGAAGATGTCAGTTATTGCATAAACTGGGACAATTGAGGTTAGAACAGTTTGAAAACTTGACTGAGTATACTCATGCTTTTGTGGACATTGCTGATAAGCTGCGGTCAATGAAGAAAGCTCTTGATGACGAATTCGTAGCAGCAATGATGTTGGCAAATTTGCCTGATAGGTTTGAACCAATGAGACAAACCTATGATAACTGTGATATAAGAATTTCTACTGACTTGATTTCCAGAAAATTGCAAGAGTATGATGACACGAACTCATATAGTAAAGGTGTGGCTCTTCTGTCTAATGGAAAGAAAAGTTTTCCAAGAAAACCTAAGTGTTGGTTGTGTGGTGAAATTGGCCATGTACGATTGGACTGCCCCAAGAAAGTGCAGAATTCCTCGAAACAGGGAACTAAGAAAAGTTTTTCAAAGCAAGAAGACAAGATGTCAGCTAAGAAAGAGAAGACATCTCGTCGTGAGAATTCCTACTTCGCAGCACTGACATTGGAGACCAATGATGATTCTAGTTGGTATGTCGACTCAGGGGCTACTTCTCATTTGA